TCTAAGCACATGTTATTTTTTGCCACCCAATGCACATTTTATTTGTTTTTTATATCTTTATTCTAGAGTTTTTAAAAATATAGTATGTTCATAAATGCTTTTTGTACGTGTCTTATTTGTTCTTTGTTTTGTAAATGCTGGAGCCAAGTCGTCTCGTCTTTCTCTCTGTATACCTGTTGTGCAATATTGTAGCAGCAGTGGAGAGGACTACAATTAATGCAATGACGGCAATTAGAGCAAAATTATATAGCAAAAGGTAGTGTTAAGAATACCATTTGAATCATGGGATAATTTGGCTCCCATTAACATTGGACGAGATGCTGAGGAGAGAGTCTGCAGCTTCAGGTTCCATGGGGTGACCCTTAGTGCCAGAGCCATAAGTCAGCTGGGCATGCAGCAGCCGTCACTAAAAAGGCACAGCAACGACTGCACTTCCTCAGGCACCTAAAGAAAGCTGGGATGTAATTGCTCAGAAATGCATTGTGACCCATAGAGAATGGAGTGTTGGTGCCACATTTAGGAGGTGATTATGAGAAAATGCTACAGTAAAAATTTACCAAAATCAGTCTGCTTACACTCTGTTATACCTACTATAAGATGGCAATGGCAGATTTTTGGGACGTTTTGAAATGAAAGAGCAGGGGCCTGTAGAAATAGCTGAAAAAAAGAAGCATTTACTGTAAGGTGGACCTGAAAAATCCGAATAAGTAGCTGCGAATAAGTAGCCAACTTCAGCCTCAACTCAACAGTATGTAAGGCTGAACTTTGAATAAGATCAAGACACTCAGTCCAGCAAAACTAACAATAATGTAGTGAAACGAGGGATTTACAGTCTGGCAGTTGTATCTAACATTTAAAAGCACCACTTCTAATGGCTTACGTTTGAACTGCGTCTCTCCACATTGACGCCAATGAGGCGAAGACAGGTATTCAGCTGGACAGGAGCGCATGCCTACTTACTATCTCATAATTATGACTTTGTATCTCGTAATTATGACTTTCTATCTCATAATTTCGATTTTTTTAATCTCGTAATTATGACTATCTCATAATTTCGACTTTCTATCTCGTAATTATGACTTTGTATCTCATAATTTCGACTTTCTATCTCGTAATTATGAATGTGTATCTCATAATTTCGGCTTTTTATCTCGTAATTATGAATGTGTATCTCATAATTTCGGCTTTTTATCTCGTAATTATGACTTTGTATCTCATAATTTCGATTTTTTAATCTCGAAATTATGACTTTCTATCTCGTAATTATGACTTTGCTATCTCGTAATTTCGATTTTTTTATCTCGTAATTACGACTTTACATCTCGTTATTTCGACTTTCTATTTCATTTTTTTTTCTTTTTTTTCCCCTTTATTTTACCAGGAAGTCCCATTGAGATATAAAATCTCTTTTACAAGAGAGACCTGGCCAAGGTAGCAGCCATACAAAACGTAAACATATACATGACAATAAAACATTAAACCGTAAAACAGAAGAACAATTGTTTTTGCACAGTGGCTTCTCAAGCAAAACATTGACATTCCTCAGTCACTGTACTATTTATGATGATCTTAAAATCCTTTAAAGATATTAGTGTTTGCAATTTAAGAGCTTTTTGAAGGTTGTTCCATGACCATGGTGCGTAATAAGAAAATGCTGTTTTGCCAAGGTCTGTCAGGACCTGGGGGACATACAAAGGCAACCACTTGGAGGCACGCAAGTGGTAGCTATTGGAGCTGATGCAGAGTAGGGTACTGAGATATTCTGGGAGTTTACCCAGCAAAGCTTTATAAACAAAAATGTACCAATGCCGTTTTCTACGGATGGTTAATGACGTCCAGCCAACTAAGTCGTATAAAATGCAATGATGAGTGAGGGATTTTGCATTTAAAATAAAACGTAGAGAGGCATGATACACTGAATCTAGGCTCCTTAACGTAGAGGAGGCCGCATGCATGTACAGCATATCACCATAGTCTATCACAGGTAAAAAGGTAGCTTCCACTAGTCTTTTCTTTGAGGCAAATGTAAAACATGATTTATTTCTAAAATAAAAACCAATCTTCATTTTGAGTTTCTTAACTAAATTAGAAATATGTATATTGAATGAAAGCTTTTCATCAATCCATATTCCCAAATATTTATATGAAGAGACCCTTTCAATCACTATGCCATCAGTAGTAGAAATGTGCAAATTATCAAAATTTTGTGAGAATGCTTTTATAAAAATCATAAACTTTGTTTTCTGGGCATTTTTACTGGCGGAAATGGGCTTCCATAATAAACATGCACTTTAAAATACGTATGTTTTGTAACTTAATTTTGGATTATTCGATAAGTGTAATTCAACGAGTTTTATTTCATCAACGACTTTTGTCATTAATTTACAGTACTTCCACACCCCTCTTGGTCGTCGACTGCGAGTGACGTCACTCCCCATACAATCACGCCTCACAGTATAGACCCACCCCTGACCCAATTGTAAGACATGGGAAATGCAATTGCAAATGGACTTTGCTTTTTCATTTGAAATGTGGCAGTGTTCGTTCGCGAAAGCGAAAAAGCAAACGGTAATGCAAAATTTGCAATTGCATTTGAATTATGTCACACTTTATGCGTCCACATATGGAAAATGCAATTGCAAATGCAATTTGCAATTCCTTTTGAAAAATGTCCGGGATTTCCCTCCATAACAGTCTCTCCAGGGTTGGGGGATTGATTCACACTGTCGCCCCCCTCCTGTATTGCACAAGCTTCCTCAGGGTACCACCCTAGTTTGCTGGAAATACCCCTTATGATGGGGGTTTTGACGACTGTAGAACTATCGTTACTTTATATCTTTCCATCGGTTAGTCAAACGACTTTCATTCCGACACCCATTAGGATGACATGAATAAGTGAGGATCAAACATTTCAGCATTTTTAAAAAAAAAAATTCTTATCCCCAACTTTATATACCAAGAAAACGATGTACTGAAAACTTGCCCTTTTCAAATGTAACAGGACAGCACCAGTCAGGACAGACCCAGAGCTGTGTCAAAGGCAGGGAACTACGTTTATTTCCCAAATACTAAAAGTACTGAGACAAGAGATTCAAGAAATGCTGCTTCCGCACGTGATCTTATGTTACTTATCTATTACTTAAGACATTGAGAATACACTAAGGCTTTAACTATTCTTGAAGCAAAAACAAAACATGTACGCTATACTGCATAAATTGTATTTTTTTTTTAAAAACAACGTGGATTACATTGGGTGCTGGCTTCGAGCACATCTAGATGCTTTAGTAAACTATCAAAAAGACATTCCCGCAAAACGTCAGTCTGCTAACGGCAGTTCGTGGTATGCAGGAGAAAGACTTGGCAAGAACTGAAAGGCAGAATGCAGAAAAAACCCAAAAATCATGATTATGTATTATAGATTGAGTTATATATTACAAACAGCACATAGGCTATTTGTTACTGTTCGTATTAAAACCCATCCCGCTCCACTTTCGTGGAGAATATGAAGCCTGCAGTGTAGAGGATGTTTTTCTCCCGGCTGCGATCATGACTCCACCCGCATAAACCTAAATGCTATACGGACTGGGATCAGCGGGGCAATCCGTTTATACACGTCTGCCTGAAAAAGTAAGTGTATTAATACCGATGTGTATGGGGGGGGGGCTGCTGCCCCATTTTGTACGAGAGTGAATAGATGGTGGTAATTGTCATTATCCATCAAGTTTCACTCTTTTTAAATAAATTTAAATATTTACCTGGAAACGTAGACGTGACCTCCAGGCTACAGATTGCACCAACTGAGCCTGCTGAATCCGACGCTGAAGTTGCTGGTCCTGTTTACAGTAAAATAAGTTCTTTGGCGATGAAGTATATGACGGGGCTGTGCCGGAAATGGGCGCTACGCCGTCGGGGCTACTAAGATTTAAATTTCACTTAAGTGTGGGTGTACAACCAATCTGCTTGTTATATTAAAGCACAATAAACGCTGTTTATTTGTTTATTATCTGTTTGTAGTTAATAAAATGCTCAATATATGTGGGCATAAAATTTTGTACAATAATCTTCCAGAAATACAAAGCAGACACAGTACATGAGAATCAGGCAGTAAATCTTTAAAAAATTAAAATCACAATAAGATGGGAGCTGTAAAAAGCAGAAATTGTTGAAGTGAAACACAAGTGAAACTAAAACTTGAATAGTCAATACATAAAATGCATATAAAAATTATGACCAGAGAAGATATAAAATCGTGAAAAGGGAACCAGTACTACAAACATGAGCATGAAGCTAAACTGAAAGTGCACATGAGTAAGTACAGAAACTGTAATGCACCGGAAGAGGCAAACTCCACACGAGGCAAGCCTGCACACACATGCACACGCATTTACATGTATATAACAGATTAATTACCCTGTAAATAGTCTGTAGGGTTTGCAAACTACCCCAATGCTTTTGATGCAGCCAATTTTAGGTTTATAATGCAATAATCATTCCATTGTCCATGATGGTATTTAACTTTACCAATCTGTCAGCCCCCAGAGGGTCTAAACTCACTTCAGTTCCATAAACAGACCTACCTTTGTATTGCATACAAATAACATGTTAACATCAGCTGATCTAACTGTGTTTAACACCTACTTTACTTTACCCCTTGAATACAGTGTTGGCTCCGGGGGAAGGTTATGTTAGCCTCACAAAGGTGATACTGCATATTTCTTGTTTTTTTGTGATCTACTTTCTCCGCTGCATTGTTGACGAGTGTGATTGTTGCAAGTGGTTTAGCAGCTCATTCCACCATCAGGGAACCACAGAAGAGACCCTTCTGGAGTGAGGGAGAGGAGGCAGCTCCTAATGCCATTGGTTTGCTAACTGAAGGGGGCAATAGGGCATATAGGTCTTACAGTATGCAGCTCCTTGATGGAGATGGGTGCAGGTCCATTAATGATCTGAAGGCCAAGGACTTGAACTTGATGACAGCACCAAAAAGGGAGCCAGTGAAAAGAGACAAGAGGTGTGGCATGAGAGCATTTAGGCTGAATGAATATCAGACATGTTGCAGTGTTTTGAATAATCTGCAGTGGTCTGACAGCACAAGCTAGTAGACCAGCACTAATTCCCCCGAGCATCATGTGACGGGTCAGCTCCACAGCCCCACCATGTGTCTAATGATAGATTACAGAGCCTTTGTATACATGGTCACTGGAAACCTCAAGACCCTATCCAGGATATGCACATGGAAGGTGGATAGATCTAGAAATTTTACAATGCAATATTAGTATAAAATGTAGTCATCCGTTTATCACAAAATTCTAAATATTAAATCTTACACTATGTCTACGTTGAAACTTGACTATGCTGATATATTTGAAAAATATACTCCCCTGACCCCATGCATAGTAAGGATTAAATATGCATGCACTGAAAAAGACAGCAAAAAATACATTCTTAAGGATGATGATAATTTTTAGCTAAAAGAATTTTTAGCTTAGCGAAATGGGCAAAATCTTGTTAGTAATTAGCCGCTCAAAGTTCAAAGAAAATTTAAAATAATGGCAGTGAGTGTCCAGCAGAGGGCGCCTATGGCAATAAGAGCAGGCTCAGCCCTTTCAGAGCGATGTAGAGTGATATGAGGGTAATGTCAGGAACCCCTGGACTCCCCAGGGCTGGATATGGATTTGTCTCATCCAGGATAACTCCGCAGGCTTGCAGCACAGTTTTGGCCTCGTTCGCATTGCTCCCCCCAAAAAGTCTGCTCCACGCTTCTCCTTCTGTCTTCTCAAAGACATTTTCCAGTACCTGCTCAACCTATAAGGACAACACAATTGTAATTACCTTTATCACAGTGGGATTTTGTCATTATGTGCATAAATAAAATTTTATCATGGTCCTGGACTTTGCCTCATAGGTGGACAATAAATAATTAAAACTACTTCAGATCAACACCTGGAAACAAAACCACAATTCGCCAAAGCTTCGGTCATTGCTGTCAATTAGAAATACAACATTCTGCCACCTG